TCACTGCAACAGTTTTATGAAGTACAACATTACAAAGAAGCTATTTACATACATATACAGTACATCACTTTATTAATTTGCATTATGTTAAACCTAGATATTCACAACTAGTTCCATTATCCAATATTTGATGGATATATCATTGAATAATAACATATCTTACTGCCACTCCATGATGGCTCTTTCAAGAATCTTGGTGCATGAGCATGAAAATAAAATTGATAAATTCATTACTTTTTAGGAAACTAGGCATCTTTTCACAAAACAGCTCAAGTACAAGCTCATCAACGTCCCAATTGAAACGCTTGTTCCAGCACATTTCGATGGGATGTTGCTGAACTGGTACTGAAGATAGTTTTGTGAAATGATGCCCTCAGTGTTTTCTTTTTTTAATGATTTACCATCCATTCATAAAGTTTTAATTGCAGCAAAGCAGCTTGAATTCAGGAGAAATCTAACTCAGATGTGTCATTACCCATCCTGCTTTCTGATTGGTCAGTTCCAAAGGGAGGCCATAAATACGTCAAGGTAACATGCTTGGAAAACAATCTGAAGTAGATATTTGAAAGCCATAGCTTCATTGGTTGGCTTGGCTTATTTTACTTTCTGAAGTAACATGCAACTTTTTTGAAGATTCGATGTACATGTAGTGAATGGAACCGAGTAAATCTATGAACAAATATAAAATAAAATGATGGGGGAAAAATGAAACATACATTTTGAGAACTTAACTTTTCATTTGTTTTACTCACGACAAATAATAACGCCACAGATATGACGCCGTAGACCGCCCCTTTTTAATGTGTAAATAAATGGTAACTGCATACAAACCAGATCCTGCACGTCTTCACTCAGCTCTGTGATATAAGAAACAGAAATGTGAAGCATATTACACTCTACATCAGCATAAACAACGCCACGGTGTTGCCGCATCATGATATATCTGAAGGAGATTTAGAATGGCAACTAACTATGTCATGCCCATCACACGTGGCTAATCAAGAAAGGTTTGTGTTAAAATATTTTGCACTGAGAGCAAGAAAGGCATTACCTGACCGATACAAACTTGACATCGAATCAAATCAGATATGAAAGAAATGACAAATTCTCCCCCCCCCCCCCAGCCTTTTCTCGTGAACACTATTTGTGATACATTCTCCTGCTGCGATAATATACTGTCCAAAAATAAAAGGTGTGCTTGGAAATACTATACAGTTTCATACGCATATTTATAACGCTTGTCTTTTTAATACAGTGTGTTTGATTATACAGAAACGGAAAGCAATTAGCGATCGAGATAGAGGGGAGGGGGCTGTGAAATGAGGGTGGAGGAAGATGATTGTAATATTTGGAAAGAGAGGGTATGAGAAAGATTATGATGATGGTGATGATGGTGGTGGTGGTGGTGGTGGTGGTGATGATAATGATGATAATGAGGGTGATTGCTATGATCATGATAATGGTGATAATGACGATACTACTTCGGATTATAATACTTCATGATGATAATTTTGATGCCATTAATGGTGATGGTGATGGTGATGATGCTAATTATGATGGTGATGATGATGATGATGATGGTGATGATGGTGATGATGGTGATGGTGACGATGATGGTGATGAGGATGATGATGATGATGATAATGATGGTGACGATGATGGTGATGAGGATGATAATGATGATGATGGTGATAATGGTGATGGTGACAATGGTGATGATAACGGTGATGGTGACGATGGTGATGGTGATGGTGACGATGGTAATGATCATGATAATGGTAATGATGAGGATGCTAATTATGACATTTCAATAAGGGTCGCATAAGGTAATATATTGAAAGTGCCTTAGGTTGATTTCCGAAAGTAATTGGCATGCGATCGTGTTTTTTTCCACCTCCAGAGGTTTAAAAAAAAAAACGTTTGTGGTAATCGTAAATTATTAGAAATTCTCATCAACTAAATTATTGATTGCGGGTGTTCTGAACTCGGATGTAATCAATGCACCATTTAGAACAAGTATTTGCGTTCGAATCAGCTCTCCTGGAAAACTCGGCCACGACTCGGATTTCCACCGAATCCCTGTTGACTTTAGACGGATCCGATACCCGGATCCAAAGAAATTGTATCTATTTTACTTACGTAGAGCAATAGATAAAGGAGTGAACGTTTTACCTTGAAGCGACAGTATAGCCGCGCGTAATTGATTTGTGAAATTAGGCATGAGACCAAATCCCCCCCCCCCTTAATTCCTATTTAGAGCCCAGGGGCCTGTTTCATAAAACATGCTATCAATAACATGCAGGCCTGATAATTTCCGATTTAAATCGGTTTCCCTATTATTATTTTTTCCCGATTTTTTTGTCCCAATTCCCCTTTCCTATCTTACCCCTATTTTCCCTTTTTAGCCCCAATTTTCTTACTTAAAAGGGGGAGAGGATGTTGTTGGATGCCCTTTTTTTACCGAGGGAAGGCGGGTGGTTGAGGATTTTGTTTTTGTTTTTGGTGCTCACTATCACCCCTGAACATGTTAAACATTTAAAAACTGTTATTAAGCTACTGAAATCGTGGCATTTGATTGGCTGAGAGCAAATTTGTCATAGATATTTAGCATTTTGTTTTTTCTAAAACTTAAGTTTTATGAAACATGGCCGCTTTGCCAATCTTTACCAATTCATTACAAGACGTAGTTTCCTTTGGATGACAGTGATATTAGAAGTCCGCCCCCCCCCCCCCCTCCCCCGTGATAATCAGAATTTTGTGGGTATTGGATACCCCCTTTTTTATCGATAACAATTTGTATAATTTGATTCCTTCAAAGTTGTCTGACATCAGACTTTTGGTTTTTATGAAATTGAACATGGCATGGCTGGGAAAAAAAGGAGTTTACATAACTTTTAGGGAAAAGAAGATCCTTTGCACGCTCTGATGGCTTTTATCGTTGTAGCCAGTGAGTTATAAGTAACTTTGCCATGATGATGTAAAGAGCAAAATTTTTTTTTTCCCCCGTTAATTATATATGGGCCTAAAAACCAAAGTTTTATTTTGTATTTATATCAATTAATGTTTACCTTCTCTTTCTCGGAGAGGAAGGAAAGGAAAAGCATAGTTTAGCACTGGACAGTTAACCTTCATTAATCAATACCCGCACCCTGTTCATGGTCGACATCGAAATTATTGTCCACACCATCGATTGAACGGAAGCTGTGAAACTCACTGAATCAATATTTGAACCAGAAAAAAGGAAACAGCGCCATCTAATCAGGGGCGGATCTAGCTTTTTGCTAAGGGGGGGGGGGTTGACCAAAATAATGACGATGCGGAGCATCGTCCACGAGCCGCGAAGCGGCGAGCCGATTTTTTTTTGGGTGTTTATTTGAACCCCGTAAGTGATGTTTTCCTGGCATCTATTAACACAATGGAGACCATAAAAAGCAGTGCATGATAACGTCTTTTTAAATCAAGTAACAGTTAAATACACAGTTATATCCAGAGTTATCATGTGTTTGGTTAAGTTACCTGATGAGTTGAATATCTTCTCACAATATTTGCACTTGAAAGGGTTTCTCTCCAACGTGCGTTCTTTTTTCTTTCTTTTTTTCTTTCTTTTTTCTTTTTTTTCCTTTTTTTTGGGGGGGGGGCCGCCCAAGGGGGGGGGGGGGTTGCAACCCCCCCAACCCCCCCCTGGATCCGCCACTGCTAATCATCATTGCTGAATAACTCGAAAAACAGTTTTGCCAGGCGGAAATAATCTTTAGAGATTGGACAGCCTTAAAACCCAACAACAACACCAATAACAACAACAACAACAAAAGGAGGGAAACGATTCAACGGTACTCCCAGCCGGCGGCAAGGGAGGGGCCAAATAGGGGTACAAATTCGGGAGAAAATATTTAGCGGCGAATAAGCGCAGGGGGGGGGGGGGTAAGGGTAAGAGGATTTTTTTTTCTTTCTCAACAGGGGGGAGGGGGTAAGGAGCACTAATTTGTTTTCGTCCCTATTCGTGAGAGAATATTTAGCGCCGAATCAGCCAGCCGGCAAATAAGCGCGTGGAGGGGGAGGAGGGGGGGGGGGGGGGGGTAAGGAGGTGTTTTCTCATGGGATGGGGGGAGGGGTAGTGAGCACTAATTTGTTTATTATTGAGCGCCTAATCAGCTAGCAAGCGAATAAGTTGGAGGGGGAGGTATGTTTACTCAACATCCATCTACCACCCCCCCCCCCCCTCTTGAGGAAAGGAGGAGGGGCCTGTCTTAATTTTTTTCTTCAAAAAAGGTTAAATTTACCTGTTTTTGGCCAGGGGCAGCCCCCCCCCCCCCCCTAGATCCACCACTTTTTCCTATAGGGGGTACTCCAGATGAGTAATAGAGATACCCCCTGAAAGGAGGGATACAATTTGTCATTGACTCGAGAAGCAGGGGAGGGGCCCGGCCCCCCCCCCCCACTCAGGTTTCGAAATGACCGCATGCGTGTTGCCAAAATGTCCGGTAAAGGGGTACTTTTCGTGCGACAAAGTCCGGCCCGAGATTTGTAAAAAAAGGGGTGTATTTGACTTTTCACCCGGAGATTTCTTTAAAAAGGGGGTGTTTTTCTTTTTTTCTCTAATCTCTTTTGACTCCTGAGAAATAATTCCGAATTTAGGTGGTACATTGAGCATTTTTCCTGATTTAGGGGGGTCTCCAAGGCAGGAAAAGCCCGCGAAAGGGGAGTTCGGAAATGTTGGCAGTCCTCAGATAGGGGGTGCTTTCAAAAAGAGGGAACGAGCATATGCGTACCCTAAATAACACTGAGTGGGGGGGCCGGGGGGAGGGGCATCTTCGCACATTTAATTTACAATACAATTCCCAATCTACAACAATTACATAATGAAGATAGAAAAACTAGGGGAAAATGCACATAAAAACCGGCAGTCAGGTGTGAAGAAAATGATTAAGATTGTGACCAGTGACCACAACACGCAGGTACTAGTAGTTGTTTGCAACAATCCTGTCTTTGTTCTCATACAGCTATTCAACTCATTTCTACACTACAACCGCATATTGGCATAGGCCATAAAATGGGGATTCCCCATGAGGTAATTATAAGAGCGCGCGCGCTCGCGCGATATATGTGGCCGTGGCCGTGGCCATCATAGACAAGTGAAGTAGTGGCATTACGTGCGCAACGATCCCAATATCGCAGCCATTGCGTAGTATTTTCAGCTAATTTCTCACTATTGACGTAGAACCTTGATTTTCATCATCCAAGCTACATGCCCAGGCTGTAGACAGAAATGACACTTTCGTGAAATAGGAAAACCACCATTCCGCATTCGCTCTAGATCTGATCCGATCAGCACAGGAGCGCTGCATTGCATCACACGTACTATTTGTTTCCTTCTTCCCACCACCCCATAAACGCTACACATACTTGTGCATGCGGACGAACGAGTGGTTTCCAAAATCGATGTAGCTGTATCCACAGAAAATTACCACCTGGTAAGTAGGGGGATATCTTTCTTAAAACTGTACATGTATTTAATGTTATCTTTAATTACCAGAGAATCTGCAAGAAGGCTCTTGACTTGAGTGTATATGGGCTTCCAATTCCATGCAACTCCAGTAATATTCCTCCTCCTCATATCTTGTTATAACTTAGTAACTTGGTGTCTTTGCTTTGCCTTGTATAGACAGAAATAACCGTCTGATATGGGTCATTTCTTTAATAAAACTGACATTTGTTGACATTCCCCATATACAGACGGTACGCCAGAGATCTCGTACGGGCGTGGGGGTAATCTATAGCCAATTCTGGACATCTTTTTGTAATGTTGGCTCACAACATTTTCTCCCCCAATTTTCTTTATTTAGATCTAAGTTTCTGATCTATGAAGCAGATAGACAAATACTATGTATTTGTATATTCCTATCTGGAGTAATTACATTTTAATTTACTATTTTAAAATGAGAAATTTACGGACTTACTCTATATGAGTTATCCCATTATCATCTCAGAACAATGAAACAGTACGTTCATGCACTCTAACTAGTAATGACATGACCCAGCGGCCGATATATTTCTGGGTCAACCTACCAAAACATAGCCAATGTCCAATCAGAGCACTCGTTTTGTGGGAGTTCGTTGGTCAAGCCGGGCTGACTCGTACATATGTACGGTAGCTATTGGACGTTCGAAAAGAAAAAATGAATATTCATCAACTAAAACCAAGATGGCTGACAACGGAGTTATTTGACTACGAGACTTTCTCGGATTAATCATTAATTTAGGATCTAAATGAGCAAGCTATAGATCGTAATTCAAATAAGCTATATAGACCAATGTGTTATTTTTAATTTTTTAATATAGATCTAGACTCTAATTATTGCAATATTGCAGCATTTATGAGGATGTAAAGAGTGAAAATCTTGTTGCATATCTCATTCATCTCGGTCCGGCCGAACCAAACCAATTGTTCCGTACAGTCCCCATAGGACGAACTTCAGTCTCTATAATCGAAGGTCTAGTGGAGCCAGACGTAGTCTCAGTGGAACAACCGACGATATAGAGAGACTGAAGCTTTTGGTCTATGCCTTGTATTGCTTTTCTGGTGTGAGTGGAACCAGATGTAGTCTTGGTGAAAAAAGCCGCTGATTCAAAACCTTTTTTTGTCTTTGGCTGATCATCAACGAAACGGAGTTAAGTCTTTTGTCAATTCTGTTTGTTGCTTCGGCAGGCAGCCAGCAAGCCAGTGAAAGGGAATTTGTTTAATACAAATTTTATGGAAATGCAAGCATTTAAACAAACAGATCTTTGGGGGAGGGGGCATGTGGTGATGACCAAAAAATTAAAACCAAAAACTGGTGTTGGGGATGATGTTGATGATGACAATGAAAATGAAAATAAAAATACGCTGATGTAAATAACTCTGACACCAAAAAATTATATAAGTATACAGGAGTTTTAAAATATAGTGATGGATATTTTATAGGAAATTGAAAATAATAATGAATATTAATTCAGCACTGGGAAAAGATCAAACAATGTACTCTGAAAGAAATGCTTTCTTCGTATTGAATTTAAGGTTCTACATGATTTTATTGAGACTGGGAGATGCATCCCATAAGTGATTTTTTTGGTCCATGATTTACACTACTGGAAAGAAAAAAACATACAAAAACCGTTGAAGCGTCCTCGAATTCGCACATATTTATACAATTTGTATGCATGAAATCTAGGTCTTGAATGCGAAGTGTGAGAAAACACCCCCAAACTTACAATCCCCTAATTCTGTGGAGAAAGGGTGTACTGACATGAAACTTCAGAAAAAGCTAGATTAAATTATGTTGATATGCACCATGAAAAAAAAAGGTCAGATTAGGGTTCTAAAAATGTCTAATGACAAGGAATTATAAGGAAGAAATTTCGGTAACTGATGTTTGCTTCGTCGGTGCCCTGAGTAGAGCATGTGTATCATTAGAACCAATGAAGTGAGGAGGTCACATGAGTAGAAGGCGTTATCTTGTTTAGCTTACCGAAGTGTGCCTTTAACACTGCAAAATATCAGTTAACATCAGTTTAAAAAAAACATTCTCCAGAGTAGGATTTCTTTTTTTTGATTATTTTTTTGTGTCGAAATACCGGAATGTGAGAAAAATTGATGATTTTTGGTTATAGTGTAAATGCACTGAGCTAATGTTTAGGTTTCTACCAAGTACTATAGTCTTATTCAACCCTCGTTTCCATTGATCTCTGCTAGAGCGAGTACTGAGAACAAGTCCAAGCTATCAATTATAGTGTAAATGCACTGAGCTAATGTTTAGGTTTCTACTAAGTACTATATACTAGTCTTATTCAACCCTCGTCTCCATTGATCTCAGCGAGAGCGAGTACTGAGAACAAGCTCAAGCTATTAATTACAGTGTAAATGCACTGAGCTAATGTTTAGGTTTCTACTAAGTACTATATACTAGTCTTATTTAACCCTCGACCCCATTGATCTCAGCAAGAGTGAGTACTGAGGACAAGTCCAAGCTATCAATTATAGTGTAAATGCACTGAGCTAATGTTTAGGTTTCTACTAAGTACTATAGTCTTATTCAACCCTCGTCTCCATTGATCTCTGCTAGAGCGAGTACTGAGAACAAGTCCAAGCTATCAATTATAGTGTAAATGCACTGAGCTAATGTTTAGGTTTCTACTAAGTACTATATACTAGTCTTATTCAACCCTCGTCTCCATTGATCTCAGCGAGAGCGAGTACTGAGAACAAGCTCAAGCTATTAATTACAGTGTAAATGCACTGAGCTAATGTTTAGGTTTCTACTAAGTACTATATACTAGTCTTATTCAACCCTCGTCTCCATTGATCTCAGCGAGAGCGAGTACTGAGAACAAGTCCAAGCTATCAATTATAGTGTAAATGCACTGAGCTAATGTTTAGGTTTCTACTAAGTACTATAGTCTTATTCAACCCTCGTCCCCATTGATCTCAGCGAGAGTGAGTACTGAGAACAAGCCCAAGCTATTAATTACAGTGTAAATGCACTGAGCTAATGTTTAGGTTTCTACTAAGTACTATAGTCTTATTCAACCCTCGTCTCCATTGATCTCCGTGAGAGCGAGTACTGAGAACAAGTCCAAGCTATCAATTACAGTGTAAATGCACAGAGCTAATGTTTAGGTTTCTACTAAGTACTATACTAGTCTTATTTAACCCTCGTCTCCATTGATCTCTGCGAGAGTGAGTACTGAGAACAAGTCCAAGCTATCAATTTTCATGTGTCAAGTCAACTTGCTTTGCAACAAATTGGTTTAGGCCTACTTCAATATCGTACCTTATAATTGAAAGGGTTTGAGATAATTGAAGAAAAAAATTGATTTTTTATCATAAACAGCATGTGTAACAGTGATAACAAAAATTTAACAAAAAAAGTTAAATCAGCGTGAACTTAGTACATAAAAAGCATTCGCTGATGCCAGCACGTACACAAAAGAAATGCACTCATGCAAAGCCAGAGAGATCAATGAGAATCCCTATACGGGGTACTCCAAATGAGTAATAGAAATACCCACAGAAAGGAGGGAAACAATTCAATGGGAATCCCTATAGGGGGTACTCCAAATGAGTAATAGAGATACCCCCAGAAAGGAGGGAAACAATTCGTCATTAGGGACTTTTAGATTTGCATGTTGACATAGTGGACTGCTACGTGTGACGTCCTTTTAAGGCACTGGCGGTATAAAAGGATGTCACAAGTAGCAGTCCACTATGTCAATGTGCAAATCTAAAAGTCCCTATTGGCTGGAGAAGCAGGACACCTTTGCACCACATAATTCCTATTTGTTTACAACATATAAAATTCCAATTTACAACATAATGAAGAATATAATAACTATTGGAAAAATTGCAGATAAAAAACTGGCAGTCAGATTTGACGAAATTGATTAAGATTGTGACCAATAACCACAATAGCAGATACTCGATTACAACTGTGGCTGCAGCGAGGTCGATATCAAATAAACAAGTCTAAACAAAGGCTTCTACGGGAATCTGTAGTTTTAATGCGGTGGTCACAACTCGCCGTACTTGCAAGTGCGTGCTGTCTACGTGCAAAAATGTGGACAAACTTTGTGTATCCGTACGTGGTGAGACCGCCTCAGAATGGATTCGGGAGCACACAGACACACTGTAGCACTTTAAGTGCATGAGGAACTTTCGCTGCGTTCGGGCTGCGGTCAGGCTACCGATTCACCCCCAGTGCGTGTGACGTGCGTTGCCGGTACTCCCTCCCTGCCTTTGCCACTCCCTCCCTATGTTTTCAGAAAAACGTGACAGCTGTGGCCTCCCCAGAAACCGTACGGACTAAAAACACGCACGGTGGGTTGTGACCAACGCTTTAATGATTTGAGTAACCATTTCATTTTGTTTCATTCCGTTTCATTCCGTTTCATTCCGTGAAAACTGTGGATAAATCACAGATAAAGAATCATAAATACAAGTACATCATAGCATCGTCAATATAGCAATAACACAGTATCTTTGAGAAACTCATCTTCATAACCTGTTAACATAATCCCAGTCACTATTCTAGTCCATCTGCATTATGGCTTTACATAAAGACAAACTCACAATACAAGTGTCTTAACTAGACTTCACTATAGCTTGTTTAAACAATGAACCAGACAATACTAAATTCCAAATCTCTACTTAGTGCTTCAGCACTCTCACAATATATCTTCAAATTATTAGCAGTATCTTTACTGTTATCCTTGTTCTTAATATAAAATCAAATGTACATAATAACAGCATAGGCTTGCATGTATTACATTACATACAAACATCAACATCTCTCAGTATGAAGTTGAAAACACACACACTAATTTACACTTTATGTTTCGACAATTCATAGAAATACATTAAATATAGAACAAAACTAACCTCTTTGCCTGACTTAAAGATAAACTCCAGTACTGGTAAAAAAAAAAAATTAATTCTCACAGAATCAAACGAAACTTACACTGAATGTTCAAGATTACAAATAAATGACATGTGCCAAACAATTTTGGAAGAAAATGTATACTGGCTGAGTAATGAGCATAGAAAGACAAGGAAACCAAGGTAGTACCATCCCCGACACCATGTGTTTTGTCCCATATATAGCTTTCTATGTGAGTGTTTGTTACTTTACCAAGACTCGGTCAAATTTATTATGATTTGATGACTCCAGAACCTTGCAGTGCACACCAATACTTACATGCTACATGATCAACTGTTTCTGATCCTTTCACACCTTTTCTTTCACAATGCAATCGCATTACCGGTACTAAAGTTTATCTTTAATGACAATATTATGACTTCAATCTCCTTGATGCGCTGGCAAAAAGGGGATTCTTGAACCTCAGCACAACCATGTTCATGTAGCCTTCTGAGTGTTTGATATCAAGTGAATAGCAATAGATGGTGCTATACTAGGCACCTTGTCTGAGGAAGTGCTATTACAAATATATATGTATTCATGTCATGCATTGTATTTACAATTGCACTGTCACACCAACAACAAACATGTCTTTGTTCTCATTCAGCTATTCAATTCATTTCTACGCTAGCCTACAAATGCATAATTCGCATACCCGGAATGCCATTAAATTTGAGGGGATTCCCTATGAGGTAATTTTAAGATGATACATATATAGGACATGGCAATGGTCGGCCATCATACACTATGTTATAGACAAATAAAGTAGTGGCATTAAACAATCCCAATGTCGCAGTCATTGAGTCGTATTTTCAGCTAATTTTCATGATAATAATAATAATAATAGCTAGTTCTTATATAGCGCTTTTCAGGACCAAAGGCCCTCTCAAAGCGCTTTACAGATATATATATTATTACCCCGGTCATCGTATTCAGGCTTACCCGCACACAATGTATGCATGCACATTCTCCACTCCCTGGGGAGCATTCCAGCCAGGCGTCATTTTTACAAGCACAATGCTAATCTAAGCACATTAGCTTTCGCATCCTACCGGGTACTCATTTAACACCTGGGTGGAGAGTGGCAGATGTAGATCAATGTCTTGCCAAAGGACACTAGTGCCGCGGTGGGACTTGAACCGCAGACCCTGTGATCCACAGTCCGGTGACTTATCCACTCGTCCACAAGCTGCCTAGGTTGTACACAGAAACTACACTTTCGTGAAATAGGAAACCATCATTCGCTCCAATCCGATCCGCGCAGTAGCACTTCATAAGTTTATTGCATCACACGATTTGTTTCCTTCTTCCCAACATCCCATAGTATAGACGATATACACACAAGCTTGTGGGCGTTTGGAGATATTATGCTGATGTGACCTAGCTATGACACGTTGACGTCATACGACTCCAGTGGCTAATTACGAACTTGCTTTAATATTAAAGGCATCGTTTAACAATGTTAAATCTGAGATACATGTACATTGTGTTAAAAAAATTGCGCATCAAAATGATCACGAAGTGCCTCTAAAAAGTAAATATCTTTGAGTGACCAGGTTTACCATACCGACTCATTTTCCCCAATGGACTGTAGTGTTATGAAAACCGTTAGGAAAACGCCAAATTAAATTTTGATTTCCACTCATAAATATCTTGATAATCAGACAGGCGATCGGCTTGTAAAAGTCATGGTGTTACTGACTGACCTAAAGGTTTATGATTATCAATGCAGCATGAGCTAAATCCAGGATTTCGTTTCAGAATCTGAGACAAAGTTACCCAATCCCTTTAAGATTATAGAGATTTTGATTTATTTTATATCTATTTATAAGCACTTCCATCAAATTGAAGTATTGTCTTCTTTATGATACATATATAAACCTCGTAACTTTACCGTAAGTATACGGTCACCCAGGGGTCATTTTGTGAGTGTTTGCAGTACCATGCACCCCACGGCTGCCACGCCTAGCATATTGGCAAAACGGCACTCAAGTCGCTTGCCACTGCACTACGGAAGTAATTTCAGCAGCATTCGGATATGTCAGGCCAGGCCCACCCCTGCAAGTCAAGGACACACCGTACTGTATTGGCACTATTATAGTATGGTATATTAGTGTCAGATTTGTGTCATGTTTGTGTAAATATTGTTTGATTATGTTTGAACCGTAAACATGACATGTTACATTGTAACTCAGATTCTATAATTTCCACTGAGGTATGGCACGACAAGCACCAAAATGCACGATTATTATATGTAAATAAATGCATCAGATTGCACAATTTGAAGTTAAAAAATGCAAAAGCTCCCACACTTTCCTTTTTGTTTCAACTTTCACTATTCTCCTTGATTTTTCTGCTTACTGTAAGAGTAGGGTGTAAATACAAAGAAATACTAATAGTGTATAATGGGAGTTAACATAGAGACCGTAGTGATATCAGATGCTATGAATTGTAAAAATTTACATATTTCAACAATGAAAAAAAAAACATTGCACTACATCACGGAGGGGTGGGGGAGGGGTAGGGGGATGCTCCACAAGAATTCCTTTGTATTTACACCCTACCATATACACAATGAAAATAATCTCAATATGATATTTGATTACCGGTAGCTTTATTTCATAAATCCTTTAAATGTGTATTTTGTCTCTCTGCAGCACAAATGGAGACACCCATCCCGCCCCCCCCCTTCCCTTCCTGAATATAAGCTAGATCTTCACATGTCATCCCCTTTTATCTTTGAATAAAATTCAGTATTAAATTGCAAAAGAGTCAAGTCAGGAGGCAAATATTTGGATAAGGGGCGAAAAAGTGTAAACAGTGAACCATTTTATGTACATTGTACATACACGTACATGTATGTCACTATTCACTAATATGAGTAATTTACTCATTGTAAATAGTCATTTATTGTTTTACTTTTGACACTAAATTTACTTATAACTATCTTTTAATTTTATATTATATCGCTGTAGAACATGTATTTTAACTCATGTCATGTTTATATTAATGATCTTTTGTTTCAATGTTTTTAATGGTGGTGAATAAATAAATTCAATTCAATTTAATTCACTTCAATTTGTATAATTAACTGCATCAATCCCCCTTTTTGTCAATTACAGGATGTCTTGCTGGGGTTATCATTCATGTACCTTTCCAGCGGACTGAGTTTCTGTCGAATGAGAAGGACGTCTAGCACCATGGATGGATTCTGCCTTCTCTATCTGCTCATGATTCTCCTGATGAGATCTGGTGATGTTGAAACCAACCCTGGACCAGACAGGTCAGTCTATATGTATTTGAAGCTTATTTCCAGTTCTTTACAGTAATGAGCAGTAGGGATATGAGTATTTTTCTTACTATTAAAGCATAACACCACATACATGCATGCCAGTTTTTCTTCCATGTTCAACTGCACTGCTCAATGAGGTATAAGTCTTGTGTGTGTATATGCTTCAATATACCTTTGCATGAATCTCATCAGTACATGTAGCTTCATGGAATCAGATAGGTATGCGCATGGAGCTGCAGGTACTGCAGTGCTCATCTCTAGGAGCTAGTGTACATATTTGTAGGCTGGAGCTCGCTTATTCTTCCACGTAGTTAGTTGTACAGCCTGTTTTGCCCAAAAGCTCATCAAGAACTGAACTAAACTTACAAAGTATGAAGAAAGGTGCTTTAATGAATTATACAGTAGAAGTTACAACACAATAAGAGACACTTATGTCCCCTCTAAAGTGTTGGGAGCCCCAAGAATTTGATGGCAAAATTTCACTTAAATTGTATCATAATGTGAAAAGTGATTTCATTTTAAACACATTTCTGCAGGATTTTAAAAACAAATGTGTTGATGTCAAATATTGATGAAAGAATACAAAATATAGGTTTTTTGCGTACAACAGAAAACAGAAATTATTTTTTCTTTTTATCAATATTTATCTTTAAACACATTTTTTTGGGGAAAATCTTTACAATTTAGGTGAAATTTTGCCTCCAAATAATGGCGAATTTGGGGCTCCCAACACTTGAGAAGGGCTTTAAGAGAAACTTAAAGAGATGCTTGATAAACTCATGTTTTTAATTACAGGATTGTCAGTGAAAAGGAATTCTTAAAGCTGTCAAAGCAAATTAAACCTAGCTACTACAAAGAGGTGGGCATTAACCTGGACATCTCCATTGCAGAGCTTGGTCAAATCGAGAAAGAGAGCCAAAATACCAGTGATGCATTGATGACAGTCTTCACGAGATGGAGAGACAAACAGCCTCCAGGCACAGACATCAGGGCTCTTCTAGCAGAGGAATTAGAAAGAAGTGACTTAGGGTCCCTCTCTGGCGAACTACTTGCTGGCAGTCTAGTCCTGAAGCGGACAGGTGAGAAAAAGAAGGCAATCGTGTCGGCTGCCCGCAAGAAGGCCTTTACTGCCATTTATAATGTATTGCTCTTGCAGGCAGCCCCAGAACACTGATTTGACACTTTCTTGTTTGGTACAAATAGGGTTATTTTATAACAGGACATCCCAGTAGACGAAAAGCCCACAAGACTGATACTGCCGGTCTGTTTAACCCTCAAAATAGTTGTCAGAACACCCATGAGACTGACATGTCAGTCCATGGGTAGTTGGTCTCATGGACCTTCTAACAACTTTTCAGATGGTTCGCTAGACAGATATTGTCGGTCTTGTGGGCTGTCGGTCTCATGGGCTGTGGCCATTAATACATGGTTACAGACCCACTCACTATGTGTTATGTAAGGGAGATGATGACACGTTTTACATGAAGCTGTACAAGGATTATCATTCAAATTTCTTTGCATTTCAAGCCCAGCCACTTTCAGACTATTTTTTTCAAGTCATGCTCATCTTTTGACACCAAGTTTATGAAAATTACAGAGTCGTTTTATCTATAAAAAAGATGTCAGCCCCAAAATGGAGAATTTCTGATTTTTGTGTACAAAACAAAAGGAAATCTACATTTCTCTCAGTTCTTTCTATTTTGAGTGGAATTGTTCTTTGAGCTATAAAATATAAACTTTATATGGTTCATCATTATTGTCCATACTGTTAGCGATGGAAATTATTGATATTGACATGTTTTACATACGGATACATTAATAGACAAATTCTATTGAGATAAATAAAAAAGAAAACAAACAGACATGTCATGCATCAACAATAGTATACATGTATGATGTGCAGAAATTATACTGCAAAGACAATAAATTATTATCTGTTCTCATTGAATCTTGAAAAGTTGACAACAATAAATACATCAGAAATAGAATATTTCATGAATATCCTAAACAAAAACAATTTGATATGCAGATGAAATTAACACACTTATATTATTAAATTTAAAGGTGCACCTGATACAATGCCAGGATCACAGACCCGACCACTTTCCACTGAACAGATCAAGAGATGTGCAGATGATCTCAAATTCATGTACCGGACAACTCTCTGTAAGATCAGAGATGATCCTCTCGACCCTGATTCCATTGTACCATTCACAGACATGTACACAAACCTTGTCCTGGAAGAGGAATATCGAAAAAAACGCAAGCGACCACTTGAGTACAGTGATCTCTTTAAACTCAAAGTCAATGGAGAGTTCCCCAAGCGGATCATGGTTCAGGGAGAGGCTGGGGCTGGAAAGACAACATTCTGTGCTAAGATTGCCTGGGACTGGATAAATGACAGTCCTGCTGTCCCAAAGTTTGTGTGGGTACTTGTTGTCCCTTTTCGTGAAGCCAAACAATACACGATCGGTGAGATTGCCAAGTCATATCTCTCCAAAGACAACCCAGCAACAGCCTGCCAGATCACTGAGTACATTCGTTCAAATCCAACTCATGTATTCATTGCATTTGATGGATTAGATGAGTTTAAAGGCAAGGTTGTACAGGAAGGGGAAGCTGGTTCAAAGTCAGAATGTCACCAGCCAAAGTCTGCTGATCAAACCAAGGCAAGATCAGAATCAAAGATGAACAAAAAAAAGCGGCAGAAGTTAACGCAGCCAGAGTCATCAAGTGCCACTTTGCAGCCAATAGTCACCAGTGCAGTGGCAAGTGGAAGTTCTTCAGAGAGAGGTGACATTGCACTTACAGACATTCTGCGTTCGGATGAACTTGCCACTTGCCCGGTGTTGGTGACAAGTCGCCCATGGAGGGTCACAGAGACGAGAGATAATGATATTCTGAGGAAGCTGTACACTTTCATTCATGTGGAAGGTTTTAGCAAGAATAGTGTGGAGGTTTACATTCACAAGTACTTTTCAGAAGATGTGGCCAAAGCAGATCAGCTTATCCAATTAACCAAGGACAATGACATCATATCTAAGAATATGGCCCCGTATCCTATCTACATAGCTATGCTCTGTCTTATGTGGAGAGAACTTGGTGACGAAAAACAAGAAAAGTTGAAGTCATTACAAACTTTTTCTCAAATATTTGATGAAATGTTTGAATTCTTGAAGGTGCATTATGCTCAGAAAGAGATCACAGATCTAGACAGCCAAGATTTCCAAGCCTTTCGCTGTCAAATTGAGAAGCTCATGGAACCAGTTGCCAAAGTTGCTTTCACCGGGCTACAAGAAAACACCCTTAGTTTCCAAGAAGGTGATTTTGAACAGTGCTCAGACTCCATTGAAACAGCTTGCAGAGTGGGGGTGTTGTCTAAGGAGAACAAATTGTTGTCTATACATGATAAGAGCAGTCCGTTCCTGCAGTCTACTTTCTTCTTTCCACACAAACTATTTCAGGAGTACATGGCTGGGGTCCATCTTGCTTCCCTGTATGAATTAGATCCCAATGAATTCAACAGGCTGATTGAGCAAGTAGTACTGCCTAGGAAGGAAGAGTTTAGGTATCTCCTGTACTTCACTGTATCACGGGACAAAACTGTTGCACACCATGTCATGAAATGCATGGTACAGGGTAACACCACAAACTCACAGGAGATGAATTTCTTGGTTGATGTATCCTTTGAGAGTCAGGACCTAGATACTGCAGCCTTGTTGAGGGGTGGAATGTCATCTCTGGTCATACACCCATCCATGAAAGCACACACCGTAGCAGGTTATGTATTCACTGGACTAGGTGTACATAAAGATGTGGTAAGTTTGATATCTTACGTACATTAATAAGTATTACAATTTAAAGGGGATGTCCACCCTGATATTAAGTAGGTTTGAATAGAAGCAGAAAATGAGAAAAACATTATTAAACTGACTTAAAATTCAAAAGTTTCCTATTTTAAATTGAATATTGCTCAATAATTTGTTTCTCTCCTTTTCCTGATTTTATTAAAACCAACTTAATATCAGGGTGGACTTCCCCTTCAATTGCAAACCCAATGGGCATCTACAGACATGCATTTTTTTAGGAATGGGTATTTAATATTTATTTATTCATTTATTTGTTCATGGTATGAATCAAAAAATGATTAGCAGCCAATGGCTGAATTGTTCACATTTTACAAGCATGTTTTAAAAATACATAAAAATACAATACTAAAAGTGGTAAGAATATCCAAAAGCCAGATGATACTCATGGTATATAGAACACTGTAGATTAAATAATTTCAGAAAAACAAAAACAATACAAGTATAAGTCATGAAACATAATTCATGGAGAGAAGTAAATTGCACTTTTGATCAATAAATTATGTCCATCATTCCCACATTCTATCCGTCCTCTTCTGCCCCCTCTCTTTCCCCTTCTCTCTCTCACTCTCTCCCTCTCTCTCAGGCTCTCTCTCTCTCTCTTGCGTGTGGGTTGTCGGCAGATATATCAATAATTTGGTTACAGATATTTGCTTTAATTCATAGTTCAAAGTATTTATGATAAGTTCAAAAGAGAATATAAATCTAATCAATGGTATGAGTATTAAAAAAAGTTTAAGAAATATTGCATAATCACAATTTACAAACCATCAAATTGGTCAATAAATTGTATCGAATTCTTTTGCAGGGCTTGAATAGCATGTAAAATTGTACACATGGTATTATAATCTAATTAACACTAAATAATTTACAACAATGACAAGATAAACCCATTAAACCGAGGATAAAGGGATTTTGCGGGTACTTTTACCTATTAAAGCATAATGCACAACAGATTTATTTATGGATCCCCCTCCCCCTTTACTTTAAATTTAAATTCAAGAGCCTGATGAGGTAGAGGAGGAGCACTTCTTTTGAAGCGCTCCGTTTTAAGACTTCAGACTAGGTTTGGCCATTTCGCAATGATCGACAATGTAAAGTTGATTGCAATGGAGGAAGCCCATGGTGAAAGTTTGATGATGGGCTGGTCAATCTTTTGAACAGACTCAATGCTAGTTTCTCTCGTCATTCATTGAGAGTGGGCAGTTCCAATTCTTTTAGAGCATGTTGGTAAGTACAGTAGTGCAGTCCAAGCACACGGCAGCATGCTCATTTTTTGGATTCTTTCAATCTGATTACTTTGGTTTTCAGTTAGCCCAGAGGGCCAAGCAGGGGCACAGTATTCTACCATGGGCCGAACGTAAGAAAAGTAGACAAATTTGATCATTTGCTGGAAGTTTGAATCTGTTTAATATTCTGAGCATGTATAGTTTTGTGCTTGCTCGCTTGACAATATTATTCACATGATATGAACATTTCAGATCATGTTTAACCAGTACTCCAGGGGGGTGTTTCATAAAGCTGTTCATAAAGTTACGCATGACTTAACAAATGACTTATATATGAAAAGCCAAATGGGATGCTCAATCATTTTTAACTGCATCAACTTAAGTTGAACTGTGCAGATGTAGATTAATTATAGTAACGCTGCCTTGCGTCCTTCCGTGCGTCCGTCCGTGCGTCCGTAACAAATTTGGTTTCTGATTGATAACTTCAGTAATGTTTGACGGATTTTAATGAAATTTGATGTGAAGGTACATGATATCAAAATACAGGCTAATTTCGTTTTTCGGAGTATGTAGGTCAAAGGTCAAAGGTCATAGCTCATTCAATATGCGAAAAACTACACATCTGGTTTCCGATCGATAACTTTAGTAATGTATGACAGATTTTAATGAAATTTGATATGAAGGTACATGATATCGAATTACAGGCTAAGTTTGATTTCGGAGTATGTAGGCCAAAGGTCAAAAGTCATAGCTCATTAAATATGCGAAAAAATACAATCTGGTTTCTGATCGATAACTTTAGTAATGTTTGACAGATTTTAATGAAATTTGATATGAAGGTACATGATATCAAAATACAGGCTAAGTTCAATTTCCGAGTATGTAGGTCAAAGGTCATAGCTCATTAAATATGCGAATCTGGTTTCCGATCCATAACTTTAGTATTGGTTGACGGATTTTAATGAAATTTGATAAGAACGTTCATGGTATTAAAACACAGCCTAAGTTCAATTTCAGAGTATGTAGGTCAAAGGTCATAGCTCATTAAATATGCAAATCTGGTTTCCGATCCATAACTCTAGTATTGTTTGACAGATTTTAATGAAATTTGATATGAAGGTTCATGGTATCAAAACACAGGCTAAGTTCAATTTCAGAATATGTAGGTCAAAGGTCATAGCTCATTAAATATGCAAATCTGGTTTCCATTCGATAACTTGAGTAATGTTAGACAAATTTAATGAAATTTAATATGAAGGTACATGGTATCAAAATACATGTATAGCATAAGTTTGATTTCTGAGTATGTAGGTCAAAGGTGAAATGTAATAGCTCATTAAATAGGCAAAGCACCCAGCACTATACAAAATCAAATTAATAAAGTTTCAAATAATTTATACACAAAACAACATTTAAGAGAGAAAGAAAGAGATGAGAAGGAAGCATTACAAATTTGCACAAGTCTTCAAGGAGATGTCTTTAATACAATATTTACACTAATGATATTTTTAAGTGGGTATACTACCGGCAATGATGATTATTGACTGTCCATTTTTGTTGTAGTGGAGGGGGGGGGGGTTGATGTGAAACATACATTATGATAATACTTGAGCAGTATCATTTCATATACCCATTACTATAGGCATATGATAAATATCAACAGTCAACTATTTGAATTAGTTTTATTGGACTACCAACCCTTTTCTGGTTGGAAAATAAACTGTCTGCTTGAAATGGCATCCTACACCTCAGTTTTGCTGCAACCAGTCCTCTTGATCATTTGATGCTCAGACTTCAGAGTAACCCTTAATTTTGATGGATGGAATAATTTAGGGCCCTTTAAAATGGCCTTTACCATGCTGCATTGCAGATAAAATGTTATAGCAGGCCTTCCTTTGCAAATAAATTTGGGATCATATAGGTTTCGTAGCACTACTCTGATGATATCGACCACTGTATTAAGTAACCATTCTGTAATGATTCAATGAGACTTTCTTAATGCAGGCCGAGTGACAGAAGCATCAACAAAATCTGAGGTGGTCTTAAACTTTATCAATGGACTCTGACTTTCTCATATTTTAATTTTTTGTTTGTTTTGTTTTTGTTTTTGCTTTTGATTTAGATCGATCTTGGAGTAAATAGAGAATTTGGACCAATTATATCACATGATATGGGGGAGATTATATGCTCTGTGCCCTCTCTAGAGGATGTTGCACTACGTCAAGCTGCCTTGCACAGTGACTTCTATGCAGTTCTCGCTAAAGAAGGAAACAAGTCCAAGGTGAGTGAAAAAACACATTGTAATGCCGTAGTGTAGCCTAAGGGGGCGCTTTGTCAAGACGCAGAACATCAATCGCTTGAAAATTTGAAAAATCACTGTGATTACAGTTGTAGAAAAAAAATTAAGTTGGGTCAGGAATTTAAAAGTTAAAAACTAAAATGTGTATTGTTTTTGTCATTCTGTCACTTTGCATCCTCCCAGTAAGATTTACACGAGGATGTTGCAAAATTTTCTCACAACAAAATACAAAATTGTAGTGGGAGAGGGGGGGGGTAAACCTTCCCCCTTCAGTTGCCAAACTTCCTTAAATATCCCACCCACCTCCTCTCCCCCCCCCCCCCCATTCCTGCCATGACAAGATATTGCTGCCCCTGAATGTTTGATTTAGGGATAAACCATAATAAACTTGAGTATTGAATGGGAAATGCACATAGGGAGTCAATACATGCAAAGTGTTCAAATAATTTAAAGCCTATCAGAAAAGGTTTTTATTGCCAAGTCTTGAATTATATTTAGTGTTCACTTAACTTCTTTCTGATTTTACGTTCATGACATGTTGCATTAACCTCAATATAACATTTCTGCATCATGTCAGGGTTTCTTTTTACTATTTAGTTTTGACTATACAATCGTCTGTAGTGTATATTGGATTCCTTTGTGAAGTCAAAAAATCAATTTGGAGAATGTTCTAAAGTAATATGAATCAAATATGACATTTATTTTTAGAATTGCCACTCACAGGCCAACAGCTTTTGTGGCTACAATCACATTGCACATACCTGCTTAAATGTAAATAAAAATATGACTGATGATGATGATATCTAATTGAAAAGGGAATTGAGATGAAAATAAGAGATGAACTTGCATTTTAAGAATGCTATTCAATTTGTCGACAAACTTGATTTCCTGGTACATCATAGTTATTTACATTTAAAGCGACTACCTATATTCTTTATTTCTGATATTACTGTTTTTCTTTCCTAATCACTGTCTGAGTCGCTGCTACTGTCACTGATTTTTGCTGCTCTGATGTCGTATTCGATGTCCTGCATCCTGCTAAATTTGCTTGATAGTCCTTGGTAGCGGCACCCTATGTAGCATGATATAGCCTTCTTCATTGAAACGGGCCAGGCTTGATGGGTACTTCGAACAGGAAGCACGTGCTGATCATCCAGATTCCACCCAAATTCTGTCCAGGGTGGGTTTTAGGCTTGGCAATGTGAATGTGTGCTCTCTTATTCATCATCGTTGCAAGGGCATGCAGCTCTCTTTACATGAAGAAAAAATGTGTCTCCTGTTTGGGGGGGGGAGGAGCCTTAGGAGAGTATAGATCTGTTGTTCAAAAACTTGTATGCTCTGAGATTGCCCAGATCAGACTCCTTGAAGTCATCACTTGCTGAGGTGTTAATATATGTTGTGATGGCCCTAATACCTCCTTGATTAGTTCTCTGGATACAACGTCAGTGATGGCCCTTGCCTTGGGGTTCTCACCAAGTCAATAATCTCTAGTTCTCCATCACTAGCAATGATCTGTGTCATACGCAGAAGAGCAGTTACTTCATCACTCTTCCCTGATTTAGCTCTTGTGGGCCCAGACTTCTTTTGTTTCTTGTTTTGTGTGTGGAACGTGTTCAGCTTCATAATACTTGTCTTCTTCTGAAGACTGGACAGTGATTGAGACAGTGCCTCCACGCCTATTTGTTTAACACTGCTCAAGTTGTCCTAAACTGTGCAATCAGCACATTGCCCAGTTGACACATTTATCAGGGATGTTGTAGTTGCACTGGATGCATTCGTCTCGACTGCTACCATTACCTTGATGACCATCTCTGTGTCCCTTGTACTCGACATACACCAGATTCATTGTTAGGGCTGGGTGAAAGAAGATGCAGCATCGATATTTACTGTGCAGAGACAGATGTGATGGGTTTTAATTGTTTAAACCCATTTTATCCATGGGGCGGGGTTAGGTGTAATTCCGTCATGTCCACTTTCTTCTTACTTGGCATCTGCATTTGTCTGTTCAAGAAGCATGTCAGGAGAAACACAATTGTGCTTGCCGTCTGCTCTCCTTGCAACAAATGCACCCGCCATAAGTGCATCATGTACATCAGGGGCTGTTTTAGGAAGATTTTTCATCTCATCAAGATAGAGAGGCAGAGACTGCTGCCCATATTTGTAATGCCCTGCTGCTTTGAGGTAAGGTATCATTCAATATGATTCACAGACATGTCCTACCCAGTCAGCTTCTCGCTGGTAGTAGTTAAATCTATGCAGAACATCAGGAAGGTGGACCAGAAGATTGCTGTTGGTTGATCAACCATTGATTCTGGGAAAAGTTCCTGAAGGGCTGATAACTGTTCATGGGAATTCTGAAGCATTTGCAACTTTTCAGTGGCAGTGATGTCTTTTTCATAGAGCATTTTCAAGACAGATTCCACCTCAGGCTGCCAGTGATCTGTTTCTCTGTCTGCTGCCCATCATGTCTAGAATGCTTCCTAGTAGAGGCGCCACATAGTTTCGCTCAGGATTCTGAGGGCATGTATGGCCTGGTAGTAGTCGGCTTTATCACCAAACATCTTCCTGGCACAGACCAGCTGCAACAAGAAAATCTTCTGCACCTGCCGCCCTAAAGATCTGCAAACTGCTTTCATGTAGTTGTGAGCTTGATGAAAGCCACCCAGCAGTAAGACCACATTGCTGAACTCACTACGATGCTTGTCTCTGATGGCTACAGCGAGCTCATATGTAGCCTGATCTCCAGTTATAATTTTGTATTTGTTACCACGTGCATGTGATGTCCTGACAAGTCAAATCATCATTTCCTTTAGTACAGTAGGGTCAGTTGGAGAAGATGGGATCAGAGGAAGATAGCCAATGATTCTAGCCTGTCTATGTGGATGGAGGTCAGCACGGAATGAGGAAAGCCCGGAAGTCCTGCTTCTAAAACTCTAGGAGCATCCACCAGTTGCGAAGTTGTGATCATTCTACCGAGGCGCCACATAAGCAGAACGTCCTCAGTCTGCATGGCCATCTGAAGAGTGAGTGAGTCTGGAACCATATTGTATGCAGATGTGAATGAAATCTCAGTTGAATTTTTCTCACACATCTCTTTCTTACACTTCACAATCTGCTCTAAGAATCTTTGATGCTTGCAGGAGTGTATGGTGTTTTCCCTCGATATCATCTCCTTCTAGGCGCCTCAGTTTTTTCAGTGCGTCACCAAGTGGTAATGTGGAAGCACATATAAATCCTGAACCTTTGGTTTGATTGAGAACCAAAATATGTGACCCATAGTATTCATGTAATTTATGTTTCAAGATGGTCGCCCGGTATTTATCTCCTTTATCGACACCAAGCTCCTCAAGAATGTCTCGGTACCTTACGCGGATGATTCTACGAGGAATGTGGACAGACCAGGAGCTGGAAAAGAGGAGCTTCCAGCTCATCTACAACATCATAAGGGTTTAACTTTGACCGACCAGAATGCGAAGAGCCTTAAATTTGTTCATATATGTTGTTACACACGTAACTGGATGAAGAATAGGCTTATCACAGATTCTTGTTGGCATATGATGCATTTTGTGTAGTCAGTGCTCATATCTTTGGAAGACTTCTTAGCAGGCACATGCTTCATGGACATGGCACTATCTGCCACACGTTTTCTTGGCTGGTTACTCATCTTGCTGTAGGAACCTATAATATAGAGGGGTGTATCATTTGAATAATAGTTGCACTGTATTTATATTTCATATAAACCTAACTTTGAAATGTTACTTTACATTAGCAGGCAAACTTTCACTCTTTCTTGTAATTCTTGTAAGATCTTAAAAGACAGACCCAGGAATTCTGAAATTCATCTAGTATGAGGTTGCTTTGGTCAATGTCACCCTCTTATACCTATATCAATTATAAAACAACATTGAGATGGGGGTAATAGGTATATTAGTATTGGATTAACAGGAGTATTGGATTAACAGGAGCATTGGATGTAACAAACATGTAAAGTCATCACAAAAGGTTGTAAATCCGATTTAAGTGTTGTGATCCAAAACACAAGATGGAACAAAATTTATGCTACATTATATTAAGGTTTATTCTAATCTACAAGTGTTAAAGTGGAACTAGTATAAGAAACTATATATTTATTGGTTCACTTTCTCTTATATTTACATCAGGTAATGTTTTAATACAGAGTCCTTGAGAAGAATCTTCCGGATTGCTCCATAGTGATGCCAGATGATTACATATGGAAATTCTGTAATAAGCTGCTAGATAATATTTTATCAATAATCCAAAAGTTTGCTGAGAGTAAAAATATTCTGATTTGAGTTAGCAAAACTTACTACATCCTCAAACCTGCAACTGAAATTCCTACCTCATACCAAAAGGTTCAAGCTGGTTAGGAAGTTTCTGATAGTTTCTTCATCATTCTATTAGTTGAAATGTACTTGTAATGTTTGATTTCCTGTCTCTCTGATGTTGCTAACAACTCTGTTTAGTCATTCATAGAAAAAGGGAAGAATGCAATTAATCATTCACGTTTCAGTTGCAAACTTGACACATACGGTATGCGGCAATGATGACTCATATTAAATGTATTATCAGGGAACTAAACTGCATATTGTCCAAAATGAACTTTGTTATGCTATAACTTTTTTTACATGAAAAGCAAAACATCTGTAATTTTCAGATCATATTCAACTAATATTACATACCTGCCAACCCTTACAAATAATCCGGAATATTCTGTTTTTCTGGATTAGTCATTTATAGAACTTCATTAAAATATTTGTAGATCCAGACAGGATTCTATGTTTTATTTGACCATGTCATACAAAAACCAAGATTCTACAATTACCTTACACAATTTGTATTAATTACAAATCAGAATTACTAATTTTTGGGTGAATTTATGATTGCCCCTGCCACTTGTGTCTCCCCCATCGCCCAGCCCAACCGTTCACTGTCCCTTCAATCATTAAGAAAAAGGATAGAATGCAATTAGATGATTCACGTTTCAGTTGCAAGGGCAAACCTGACAGATATGCGGCAATGACGACGCACGTTAAACGTATCATCAAGGAACTGGTCTGTGCATATTGTCCAAAATGAACTTTACTATGCTATACATTTTTTATGCCTCCGCCACCGAAGGTGGTGCCGGAGGCATCATGTTTTCGGGTTGTCCGTCCGTACGTCCGTACGTCCGTCCCGTTTGACCGTTATCACAATATCTCAAGAACCATTTAAGATTTAAACTTAAGACTCGGGAATAGTATTTATCACCATAGGAAGACGATCTGATTAGATTTTGGAGTACGTAGGTCAAAGGTCACAGGTCACAGAGGTCAACTTATGAAATTCCTTGTATTGAGTTTGTTAGCGCGATATCTCAAGAACCATTTGAGATTTAAACTTCAAACTTAAGGATAGTATGTATCACCATAGGAAGATGATCTGATTAGATTTTGGAGCACGTATGTCAAAGGTCAAGGGTCACAGAGGTCAACTTATGAAATTCCATACATTGAGATTGTTATCATGATATCTCAAGAACCACTGGAGATTTAAACTTCAAACTTAGTGATAGTGTGTATCACTATAGGAAAACAATCTGATTACATTTTGGAGCACGTAGGTCAAAGGTCAAGGGTCATAGAGGTCAACTTATGAAATTCCATACATTGAGATTGTTATCATGATATCTCAAGAACCACTGGAGATGTAAAAACTTCAAACTTAAGGATAGTATGTATCACCATAGGAAGATGATCTGATTAGATTTTGGAGCACGTAGGTCAAAGGTCAAGGGTCACAGAGGTCAACTTATGAAATTCCATTCATTGAGATTGTTATCATAATATCTCAAGAACCACTGGAGATTTAAACTTCAAACTTAATGATAGTGTGTATCACCATAGGAAGACAATCTGATTTTGGAGCACGTAGGTCAAAGGTCAAGGGTCACAGAGGTCAACTTATGAAATTCCATACATTGAGATCGTTATCGCGATATCTCAAGAACCACTGGAGAATTTTCACTTCAAACTTAATGATAGTATGTATCACCATATCATAATATCTCAAGAACCACTGGAGATTTTAACTTTAAACTTAATGATAGTGTGTATCACCATAGGAAGACAATCTGATTAGATTTTGGAGCACGTAGGTCAAAGGTCAAGGGTCACAGAGGTCAACTTATGAAATTCCATACATTGAGATTGTTATCATGATATCTCAAGAACCACTGGAGATTTAAACTCCAAACTTGTTTAAATTGCTCTATGGCGGAGGCATCATTTTCGACTGCGCGCAGTCAAAATTCCATCTAGTTTACATAAAAATCAATGAACCTGTAATTTTCAGATCGTATTCAACTAATATTAGGAAGGTTTTCTATATATTTTTAATTCTTCAGTTTCAAAAGTGATTGAAATATGGAGAAATAACTCCACCAGGTGTAAATGGGTACCTGATATTATTCAGCACTAGTTACTTTGGCAGCTCGGCTACGACCAGGGTAATATGCGTAAAGCACCATGAGCGTCAGAGCTTGGCGGATACTGGTGCTATATAATTATCCTATTATTTATTATTATTATTATTATGTAAAATAAATTCAATCATCATGAATGTGGTATCATCTTGTAGATAATTTAATTTTCTTTCATTGATACCACATGCATGGTAAAATGATGTTCTGTTACAAAATTATCTTCTAATTATTGACTATTTTTTTTCCAGAAAAATATTGTCAGGGTAGTCCACCTAGAAATTGTGCAGGAAGATCCTCTGATCATGTTTATACCGACCGACCTACAACATCCCGACCAAAACCCCCCAAATTAAGGTTTTGCCCCCTAGGTATTCAGCTATTTTGTTGTTGCCTTGATGGTATTATGTCTTCATTCAACAGAACTATAGTACATACAAATTATTAAAACATAGCAGGCCACATAATACGAACCACAAAGGAAAATTATTGTAAGGTATGTATATGTTCTATAGCTAGACCACTTTCATGTACAATATAACATCTATTATTATAATCATCATAATCATTTTAAGCTTGTAAATAAAATTATCATTCTTTAAACTCTCTAATAGAATATTATCTTTAGCAATGCTGGTCTAAATATTTGAATTACAATGAAAAGGTGCTATACTGAATATTTTACTGAGAAGATTTGCATTTAATTCACATACCTCTAAAATACAGTAGAATCACTGCAATTCGCTCCTACGCTCAGGAATTCCTGATCTTCCTCTTACCTGAATCTTCAGTATGGTCATATCCTATTGGACTGTCTATCCCTGACTCTTGACAAAGGCCTTATATTTTCATGCACTTTTGATCTAACTATAATGTACATAAAAATCACCTGAAGGTACTAGCTGTAACATCACGGATATCTCCAATTCCGTTTAACCGTTTTTGGCCGTGTGAAAAAGCAGGAAGGTGATTTAACTGAAGGCGCCGATTTGTGCTTGTGAACTAGTCACAAATAATAGTAACAATGTCGTTTTAGAATAATGTGTAAGATAATTAAAGTAAATTAAAAACAGTAGAGGACCTACATGTAGGATAGAACCTTGTGGTACACCATGTGTTAAACTTGGATGAATATATATTGAGATCTATTGGGCAATTCCACGGTAACGGAAGGACACTCAGACAAGATTTTTGAACTTCAGGTTCATACTAAAAGAAATGTTTTATTAGTATGTATTAAACTATGGGGAACAAAATGTGTTTCAGTCAAGTGGAAAGCTTCATCAACTTCACAAAGTTTGGATAAACACTAATTAACTAGAAAAACCATGTCCATTTTTATGTCCTTCCGTTACCGAGATAATTAATATGCACATTCTTAAACTACTTAACTATAATGACAATTTTTTGGGGGAGAATTAAAGGCACTTATATAGGTATTATATCTGTACTGTTTCACATCTTATACTAATAAAACAGTTCTTTTAGTATGAACCTGAAGTTCAAAAATCTTGTCTGAGTGTCCTTCCGTTACCGTGGAATTGCCCTATTACAAAGATTACTTTCAAACCAAGATGACAGACAAATTGGAGTGTTGTTCTAGTTTCCAAGTGGTAAGTCATCACACCGATTACTGAGCTGGGAGACATTGCCAGGCATAGTGCCAGGTGGAGGGGCATAAATCGAAACTTTAAAAAAAAAAAAAAAAAAACGGGAAAACGAAACCGTCCAATTGAAAACGGAATCCGCCATGGGCGGTCGGATACCGGACGGTTAAACGTTTGACTACAGCACTATAATAATACACATTCTGACTTCTCACTGTCTGATTTAACTTATAAAAGTATACAAAGGACTAATATTGGGAAAACTACTCTGTGCAAATAAATACTAGCCCCAACAAGACCCTTTCATTGATGCGGTCTCTGACCACATGTTTACAAAATTCCTGCTCCCCCTCCATCAACCAGTGTTAACCCTATTTAGCCCGGGGGGTGGGGGGGGGCTTTAGAAGCCCCCCCCCTTGACATTTTACGCGATAATTTTTTAACGCAAGAAAATCTTGCACTGAAATTTTGTGACTTTTTTCTCTCGAGTCTTGCGCATCTTCTGAAAGAATTTTTTTGAAAATCAAACCTACCATTATGAAGTCACGTGTCATTTTGTCTTTGCATGTCAGCCCGAAAATCGCTCATTTTTGTGATTTGTGTACAAAACATATGGAAATCTCATTTTTCAAATAAAGAGATAAAACATTGGTTATTTGGTCTTGTTTATAGTTTAGGTGTTTATTTTTGGATCCAAATAGTTGAATTATAGTTGGAAATAAAATAAAACAATAAAAACAACAAACTACATAAGTTAAAAAAAACAAAGAAATACATAAAAAATTATCAAAACAATAGATAACATAAGGAATAACCCTGGTTTTTCAATGTTTTGTGTTGTATTATTATTCCAAATGGTCTAAAAAATATATGTAGTGAGAAAGAATGCTTAAAATATGAATAATGTCTGAT